GCTTTTTTCTTTTTGCTTATGTGGTGCTGAGGAATCGAACCCAGGGCCTCATGCATGCAAGGCAAGCGCTCTACCACTGAGCCACCTTCCCAGCCCATGAACACATCTTATACATGGTGCTTCACTCTCTTCAAATTCTAAAACATGGCATCCCAACACCCCTACGGAGGATGGAGGAATTGGCAGTTTTACCCTTTTTATACAAAGTAAAGATACTCACATATATATGTATCTGTACATATATATATATATATATATAGATAGATAGATAGATAGATAGATAGATAGACAAATAATGATCTAATATATCTATGGTATTAAATTTTTATAGGGTGGTGATAGGAAAGTAAGTTTGAAAACAGCTTAGAAGAAAGGTAATAAAAACAGATTGAGAAACATTGTTCTGCATGAAGTAAGGTCTGCTTTTCTGTTTGTATTTCAGGGAACAGCATGGATTGGGGTGGTTGATGATGGTGGTGAAGTAGCTACCACCTACAATGTCACAGCTGGCCAGGTGATCTTCTTCCCTAAAAATACACTACACTGGATAAAAAATGTGGGCAATGAAGACTGCTTTTTCTTGCTCTTCTTCTCAACACATGATGAACTTCAGACTCTGGACATTGATGATGTATTCTTTTCTACGCCTGAAGATATTGCTTCCAGGTCACTTAAGGTACAGGCCATTTCTTTTCTTTTTTTTGTTGGTCATAGAGCTTGAACTGTGGGCCTGGGCGCTGTTCCTCAGCTCTTTAGTTCAAGGCTAGCACTCTACCACTTTAGCCACAGCACTACTTCCAGGTACAGGTCATTTCTGAAAGCACGTATTACCATGAAAGTATTCTCTACATAGCCACACAGAGAGCATAAATAGTTGTGTTTCTAGGCAGTAATCTACACAGATTCAGAAGAAGCTGGCTAATAGTTACAGTCATTTAAATAATGGCCTAAAAGTATATCTTGTGTTTCTAGTACAGACAAAAAGTGTTGAAGTTTGTTTGTTTTTTATTTTCCTTCATGTAATGTAGGTCTTCCATAGGTAATTGTAGTATATTGGCAGAAAGATTATGATATAGTCAATGGAAAATTGCTGTAATTTATATCCCTGAGGAGTCATAAACTCTTCAGAAAGTCATTTTTTCTGTAAGAAGTTTGCTACGTGTAATAGACCATATTTTCTTTTCATTTCATGAATTGTACAATGAGTAAATTATATTTTAAAATTAAAAATTTAATGCTTATAAAAATGTTGAAATTATTATTATTATCATTATTATTATTATTTTTGTCAGTCGTGGGGCCTGAACTCTGAGACTGGGTGCTGTCCCCCAGCTCTTCAGCTCAAGGCTAGCGCTCTACCACTTGAGCCACAGCATCACTTCCACCTTTTTCTGCTTATGTGGTGCTGAGGAATTGAACCCAGGGCCTCATGCATGTAAGGCAAGCACTCTACCTCTGAGCCACCTTTCCAGCCCCTGAAGTTATTATTTAAATTCATTTAGTTGTGCTAATTAAGATGATCGTTTGTATAATATTCTTATTTTAAGTCCAAATAAAGAACAAAATATTCAGAGGAGGAAAACAACAAAACATGTATTTTCTGATTCTCAGTTGAGCTCCATTTATTGTTGTCAAAATGCAGTTTTGTAATTCTAAAGTTTCTTGATAGCTTACAAAATAGCAATGTAATTATTTACAAGTAGGAATTTACAAGCACAGGGTACAAACTTCCCCCAAATATAGGAAATAGGTGAAATGGTTAAGTTCATTTTTTTTTTTT